CTCTCTCTCTCTCTCTCTCTCTCTCTCTCTCTCTCTCTCTCTCTCTCTCTCTCTCCCTCTCTCTCTCTCCCTCTCTCAAAAAAAAAATTAAAAAAATAAAAATAAAATTACTTTGGTTGATAACTACAAAAGATATATATGGGACCTGGGGCTGTAGCTCAGTGGCAGAGCACTTGCCTAGCATGTGTGAGGCACTGGGTTCGATCCTCAGCACCACATAAAAATAAACAAAGTAAAGGCATTCTGTCCATCTATAACTACAAAAAATAAAAAATTGTTTTTTTATGTCACAACCAATTATTATGTTTGAAGGAACTATATTACCTGTATATAACAATTGTAATTTGTATTATGATTTAAGAAATGTGAAAAGTACATATTTAGAAACTGAGAAATATGTGTATATAATACATATGAACATATTTTTAATTAATTAAATAGAGATTATGTTGTTTTGTCATATTTTTCCATTTTGTTAAATATTCTCCAGCATTATTTTTATGGCTAGACTGTATTTCTTATTTACATTTGTTATCTATTGTATTTAGTAAATCTCTGTTATCTAAAATTTAGGAGAGTTTTACTATTATTAGTAATACTGAAGTGAATTTCCTTTTACCTAAATTTTGGTATACATTTAAAATCATTTCCTTAAGATAATTTCTTTAGAGTTGTTTAACAAAATGAGTATTCCTTTCAAAAAGCATATACCAGTTTATGTGTTATATATATATAAGAATGCCTTTTCCCAACATCAGGTATTACTAGTAAGGGACATTTTCGAATTTTTTTGGCTTTTTAATTTCTTTTCTTAGTTGTCTTTTATTATATAAGAGAAATGATTATCATAAAGTCTGCTGATCCTGGCATAACAGCCAACTTCTAATGCAGTTTATTTTGAAAGCTGTCATGTGTCTATTTATACGTATACCATGAAAATCTTCTACATATTACTTGTTTATAGATTTGTCAAAATGGATTTTGTTTGCTTCTTTGCTGGGGCAGGGGGTTTCTTAACCAGGCCTTCTCGCCTGAAATGATAAATTGTAGGTAAAGTGCATAACACAAATTAAGATAAATTATTATTGCTTTTATTTATCCTTCAACATCTTTTGAGTACTTGTGTAATTGATACTCATATGCATTGGGAATACAATTGCCCAAAAAACGGCCCAAATCCCTTCCCTCTTTAAACTTTCTTTATTAGGTGAGACAGGCAATAAAAATAAAATGATTAGTGCTAAAAAGGAAAAACCACACAGGAGGATATTACTGTTGTTATTGTTTACAGAGGACAGTCAAAATCTGCAATAGAATGTCATAGAAGACATTATTGACTTGTGTGAAGACCTGAAAGTAGTGAGGAATCAGCTGTTTTGAACACATGAAGAAGAGCATTTTGAGAGCCCCTGAAGAATAATCTGTGTTCTCTGTATTTTGTTTTTAACAGAGGCCAGTATTACCAGCTTGAAACAGGCTGCCCTGGTCAAAGCCCCTCTCATTCCAACTCTGAATACAATTGTGCAGTATCTAGACCTAACACCAAATCAGGAATACTTGTTTGAGAGAATCAAAGGTAACTATTAACTTGAATGGGAAAAAAATGAGAGCTTCTTCATGACATTGGGATTTTATAAATGAAGAAAAATAAAGAGAAACATTTTTTAGAAAAAATTAAGTGTAACCATGGTCTTTTGTTTCAAATATATATTTAATTAAGGCTAAATGAAGGCTTATGCCTGAAAAACTCTTGGATCCTTTATCTTATGTGCTAAGAATTGTCAAAATAAAAGCCTTGAATGTGTTAATAATAATTTTATTTTGAATCGGAACCTTAAATATGAGCCAAATGGGGTCAAGTTAATATTTCACTTATTTTCTACTCTTAGATATCAAGAATGGGTGCCATTACAACATTCTTTATATAATATCAACATGCTAACCTTTATCTTTCTTAATTTTTATCATTCCTATTTAATATTTGCTACCTTATGTTTCTGTTGTATTCTTATGAATTCTTTGTAATTTGGATAAACTTTGTAAAATGTTCTCATCCCTAAAATAAGTATTAAAAATAGTATTTTATTATTCATATTTATCATAAATCTTAATTTGAAAATGTTGCAGTGTTTTCCCTTTCCCTTACGTTTGAATTTGGGGTTCAGGAATAAGCATTTTTCATGACTTTGTAAGAACTTTTTCACATATGAAGGATTTCAATCATACAAATCTAGGAAGAATAATCTGCACAACCCTTTTGTACATATCACCCTGCCTTAACACCATCCACAAATCTCTGGGCAACCCTTACCCCATCCATACATATCCCCCCACCTACTTTTTGCCTTTAAAGCAAATTCTATATATCCTTACCAGTTATCTATAAATATTTCCTAATGTATCTCTAAAAGATGAAGACTTTAAAATACCATCATTCAGGGAGGCATGGTGACACAGCCTTAATCCCAGTTACTCCAGAAGCTAAGGCAGAAGGATCACAAGTTCAAGGCCAACCTGGGCAACTGATTAGCAAAATCCTATCTCAAAATAAAATATAAGAAGGGATGGGGGTGTAGTTCAGTGTAAAGTACCCCTGGGTTCAATCCCCAGTATTATAAAAATTAAAAAACAAAACCAAAAACCACTCAGCTACACCTAAGTACAACATAGTTATCATACCTAATATTTTTAACTTTTCCTTTATTTCATGAACTGTCCAGTCTGTATAAGTTCAAATAAAATTTCTTTTTTGTGTAATATTATTTTTTAGTTGTAGTTGGTTGGACACAATACCTTTATTTTATTTATTTTGATATGGTGCTGAGGATCAAACTCAGGGCCATGCATGTGCTAGGTGAGTGCTCTACTGCTAAGCCACAACCCCATCCCCAAATAAAATTTCTTTTAGGCTTTAGGGTTCCTATTCATTCTCCCCTCAAACCCCTTGCAGTGTATTTGTTGAAAGACTAGATTGTTTGCCCTATAGAATTGCCCTTGGTCTGGGTTTTATTGAGCATATCCATGGTATAATTTTACATGACCCTCCCTCCGTTTTCTGGGGTTCCTGTCAACTTGGGTTCAAAGATTTTAGCAAGATTGCCTCATAGATGGCAGGGTGTTTGTATATCCAAAAACAATGTGTAAATATATTCATACAGACACACACATATGTATATACATATAAGGTAAATATATGTGTATATATACAATATGACATATCAAATATACAAAGAATTTTAAAAGAGTGTGATGAACACTGTACCACCAGGATTGAACATTTAGAAATATTTTGCCACCTTTGATTGTCTTATTGTCTTTCTCTGGTGCATATACTTTTTTTCCTGTACCATTTAGAAGTAACATTGCAGATATCATTACATTTACTTTTTCAGCATGCATTTTGCTAAAAATAAGCTTTTAGGGCTGTGGGTGCAGCTTGATGATAAGAGCACTTGCCTCTCCAGTGTAAGGCCCTTGGGTCATTCCCCAGCGCCACAAAACCTACATAGATAAAAGAATTTAACTTTTATGTAGTCATGATAATAGTTATCACACTTTAAAAACTAACAGTTCTATAATACCATCTAATCTAAAGTCCATATTTAGATTTCCCAGTTGTTCAATGACTTTTGAAGAATCCAGGGTTCTTATCCCACATTTTAGATTTGTCTAATACTTTTTTCATAGTGATGTTTAATTTGATCTTTCATATTCTGTGTTTATTTTGGATGTTTTGTTCAGGTTTTTAAGATGATGTGCTTATTGTAATCCTTTAGCCTTTTTTTTTTTTTGGCATGTCTTTAGCTTTTTAATTTTATCTTTTATTTTTTTAAGTGTTGGGCATGCTAGGGAAGCAGCATACCACTAAGCTATATCTCCATCCTCTAGCTTTTTTTTTTACACAAATGCAGCACAGCTTTTCATTTCTCTGGTTGTATATGATGTAGAATCACACCATTTGTGTGATCATACCCATACATAGAGTAATAATGTCGGTCTCATTCCACCATCTTTCCCACACACACATCCCCTCCTCTCCTTTCTCTCCCCTCTGCCCAATCCAAAGTTCCTCCATTCTTCCCTTGCCCCTAGTCCACTTACCAGAGAAAACATTTGGCCTTTGTTTTGGGGGGATTGGTTTATTATCTTTGCTTAGCATGATATTCTCCAATTCCATTCATTTATTTGCAAATGCCATAATTTCATTCTTCTTTAAGGCTGAATATTCCGTTGTGTATATATACCACAGTTTCTCTATCCATTCATCTATTGAAGGTCATCTAGGTTGGTTCCACAGTTTAGCTATTGTGAATCGAACTCTTTTAACTTTTTTAATGTTGTCTTTGTTTACACAGAACTTTCTCAGGGAGGCTGTATGAGCTCGTTTAGATGGAATAGAGGTGGAGACTTCAAAGGACGAAAATGGGATACAGATCTGCCCACTGATTCTGCTGTAAGACCTTAATTGAATTTTTTTTTTTCAGTTTAATATTTTGGATACTAGACTGGTGGTTTTGTTTTTCCATTGTAAAAATAGGTATTTAAAAAGAATTTTGAGGGCTCGGGATGTGGCTCAAGTGGTAGCGCACTCTCGTGGCATGCGTGAGGCACTGGGTTCGATCCTCAGCACCACATAAAAAAAAAAAATTAAAGATATTGTGTCCACCTAAAAGTAAAAAATAAATATTAAAAAAAAAAAAGAATTTTGAGGGCTGGGGTTGTGGCTCAGTGGTAGAACACTTGCCTAGCATGTGTGAGGCACTGGGTTTGATTCTCAGCACCACATATAAATAAGTGAATAAAATAAAAGTCCATAAACAACTGAAAAAAATGTTTAAAAAGAGAAGAATTTTGAAACTTAATGAATTATGGTAGGCCCAGTTTCTCAACCCAACTGGTTAATACTTTTGTACATTTTTTTCCCATGTACTTAGGTGGTCTTATTTTTTAATGTTTTTATCATACTGTAATCATTCCTGTAYATAAAATCATGTAGCCTGATTTTTTTTTTCATTTTTTGCAATATGTAAGAATTTTTTTGTTTTTACATACTGTCATTCTATTTTGTTCTATTTTGGTCATAGAAAACTAGGAAACTTGTGGTGGGGAAAGAATTTTTGTTTTTCTATCTTAATGTTGCAAGGAATATTATCGTGCTTATTTCTTTCTTATCTGGGATCAACATTTTAAGAAAGATTTCTAGCATCAAATTTTCCAGATTAAAGAGCATATAAGTTTTTGTTACACTTAAAAGAGTTTATCAAAATCCTTTTTCCTTATCTTTTTATCTAATAATTATATGTGAAAATTAAGTTTTAAATGTTGATATTCAAGTTAAGAATTGGATATATGTGCATTTTATCTTGGTTTTGCTGAGTTAATGAGTATGAATGTTATCCACTGAACAAAAAACCAAGAAATATCCTGCTTTTCTGGGTGGCTTTATTTCATTTTGTTTTGCTTTCTGGATGCTTTTGGTTTTATGAAAAAACAAAAAAAGGGTCTAGGGCTGTGGGTCAGCGGTAGAGCACTCGTCTCGTATGTGTGAGGCCCTGGGTTTGATCCTCAGCACCACATAAATAAAATAAAAAGGTAATGTGTCCACCTACATCTAAAAAAAAAATATTAAAAAAAAAACATTAAATATTTAAGGTAGAGAAGTTTGGTGTTTAAACTGTCCCTACCTTATATGACCCCCACTCCCTAACACACAGTTAATAAGATAATGGTACCTTTGTAGGCTAGAATATTTCATGTTTTTTAATTTGAAAAGGAAACCTTTACATCAAAATTTACACTTAGGGCTGGGGATGTGGCTCAAGCGGTAGCACGCTCGCCTGGCATGCATGCAACCAGGGTTCGATCCTCAGCACCACATACCAACAAAGATGTTGTGTCCGCGGAGAACTAAAAAATAAATATTAAAAAAAAAATTCTCTCTCTCTCTCTCNATAAAAATAAAATAAAAAGGTAATGTGTCCACCTACAACTAAAAAATGTTTAAAAGAATACTTTGGAACCACTGTGAAATGCTTTATCATCAAAATTTAAACTGTCCCTACCTTATATGACCCCCACTCCCTAACACACAGTTAATAAGATGTTGTGTCCGCGGAGAACTAAAAAATAAATATTAAAAAAAAAATTCTCTCTCTCTCTCTCTCTCTCTCTCTCTCTCTCTCTCTCTCCTCTCTTTTAAAAAAAATTTACACTTAATGATGGTAAATACATTTTTTTATTTTAAATTTTTAGTGGATTATTTGAACTAAGCCTAGCCTCCCTTCTTAAACATAGTGTACAATTAAAGAGGAAATGATTCTATTAGTGAAATCCTTATCTTTATTGAAAATAATACTTTTGAAATAATACTTTTAAAGAGTAGATATGCTACCTGAATTATGACTTTTTTATCTTTTCATTTTATAAATTTTATCTTAAGCATAACTTCTTCAAAGCAATTTTGCTAATTCTCTCTTTTTGTTGTTGTTTTGTTGTTGTTTTTTTTATTGTTGGTTGTTCAAAACATTACATAGTTCTTGATATATCATATTTCACAGTTTGATTCAAGTGGGTTATGAACTCCCATTTTTACCCTGTATACAGATTGCAGAATCACATCAGTTACACTTCCATTGATTTACACATTGCCATTCTAGTGTCTGTTGTATTCTGCTGCCTTTCCTATCCTCTACTATCCCCCCTCCCCTCCCCTCCGCTAATTCTCTCTTGAGGGAAAACTTTGTAAGGGATACATCCATACTAGATTTCATGTTAACTTTGAACAATTGTTTTCTCATCTTCAGATCATCATGCATGTATTTTGCACCTACCTTGATTCCAGATTACCTCCACATCCCAAGTACCCTGATGGAAAAACATTTACTTCTCAGCACTTTGTTCAGACACCAAATAAACCAGGTATAGACCTCTCCTAAAAGAATGTGTTGAGATTTTCGTATGAAATATGTCTGGTGTTTAGTTTTTTAATGTAACATTTTTCTTTACAGATGTTACAAATGAGAATGTTTTTTGCATTTATCAGAGTGCTATCAATCCTCCACATTATGAGCTAATCTACCAGCGTCATGTCTACAATCTTCCAAAGGTATTTCTACATATAGAGAAGTCACTGTTACAGAAGGTCATGGGTGACTTATTTTGATAATGTTTTAAAATTAGTATCTGTTTGGAGAATAGTAAGAGTTTTTTTTATTATTTTTTTAATATTTATTTTTTAGTTTTCAGTAGACACAACATCTTTATTTTATTTTTATGTGGTGCTGAGGATTGAACCCAGCACCCTGCGCATGCCAGGCAAGCACGCTACCGCTTGAGCCACATCCCCAGCCCCAGTAAGAGTTTTAAATTAGGGGAAATGTGTTTCTTTATATTATTCTCTTCTTTTGACTATAAAAGTAAGAAAAACTACTCATTCAGAGGCAGCTATAGTTAACATTTTAGTGTATTACCTTTTAGATACTTTCATTTTGATCTTTTTGTGTATTTTTTGTGGGTTAAAAATCATTGTTCTGCTTTTAAAATTAACTTTATATTATAATTTCCTATTCCATAGAAATACTACTTAATAGCTATAAGAAACATTAGCCAAGCATGGTGGTGCACATGTGTAATCCCAGCAATTTGGGAGACTGAGTCAGGAGGATCCAAGTTTGAGACTACCTACAGCAACTTAGTGAAACCCTGTCTCAAAAAAAAAAAAAAAATAGCTTGGGATGTGACTCAATGTTAAAACACCTGTGGGTTAAATCCTCAGTACAAAAAAAAAAAAAAAAGATGTGATTACACATCTTCAGTTTCTTGAGTAAAAACAACCTAAATCAGGATAAGTAGATAAAAGTAGGGGCAGGGGTTGTGGCTCAGCGGTAGAGCGCTCATCTCGCACGCGTGAGACCCTGGGTTCGATCCTCAGCACCACATAAAAAATAAATGAGTGAAATAAAGGTATTGTGTCCAACTACAACTAAAAAATAAAAAGTAAATTTAAAAAGTTAATCTGTAAATTGAAAATTTAAATTTGCTATTTTTATAGACCAACAATTACAAAATAATAGTTTGTTTTTAGAGCTAGCAAAATTGCCTAGTAGTCCCTTGTAGATAAAATAAATTTATATTTAACCTGTTATTTGCATATTTTTTTTTTTTTTTTTAAAGAGAGAGTGAGAGATAGAGATAGAGAGAGAGAGAGAGAATTTTTTTAATATTCACTTTTTTTTAGTTTTCGGCGGACACAACATCCTTGTCTGTATGTGGTGCTGAGGATCGAACCCGGGCCGCACGCATGCCAGGCGAGCGCGCCACCGCTTGAGCCACATCCCCAGCCCCTGTTATTTGCATATTAAGGCATGATGTAATGTGTTTTGAAGAATGACTAAAAGCTTTTTAAATTCTCACACTTGTTTATGTATGAGTTTAGGGCATAGAGCACTTTTTGTGTGTAGCATTCAGGGGCACCCGTTTCAGAGTAACTCTCCAGGCCTCTCTCAGTGCTGTTACTATGCATGGAACTCTCAAAATGTCAACTTTTTGTTTATGTTTTGGGTCTCGGCTTTTAAATCTTTCCCTTGAGGAGGTCTCTGCCTTGCTGGTCTAGGGTAGATGCCTTCTAGTGTTCCTATAGTATCTATCCTACAACCCTCATAATATTTCCTCGCACTCTGTTGTATCTCTTCATTTTCTGTCTGCTTTTCCTACTTGATATTAAAGCTCCTGAATTATTTGTACCCTTTCTGTCTTGCCACAAATATTCCCATTTCCTCACACAAAGTGTAGACGTTTTGTTTAATGAAGGAAGGAAAATCTGAATTATGTGGAATTCTGAGTGGTAGGATATGAATTGATAAGATCTGCATTTATCTGCCAGACTGAATCTTTTTAGATTAATTTAAATTTTCTTTTTTGTCTTGGTTCTAGGGCAGAAATAATATGTTTCATACTTTGTTAATGTTCCTCTACATCATAAAGACCAAAGAGTCAGGAATGCTTGGGTAGGTATTTAAACATAAGTACTTAATTTATTTACTGTTTTTCTTCTTATATTAAGATTCTGTAGGCGGCAACATCACCTGATTAGTGAACTGAACCTTCAGTGCAGTTTCTGTTACTAGCTCAGCCCTGTCATTCACAGACTATCCCATCTTGGGCAAGTCCATTAACTCCTCAGAACCTCCATTTGTTAATTGGTGAAAGGCAACTAGACCACATCATTGGCTTTATACTTGTGTCTCCTGGAGGAATAGCTCTGAGATAGATAAAAATTGGGCTTATAGCCAGCACAGTGGCTATTAAGGAGACGGAGGCAGGAGGCTCACAGTTTCAAGGCCAAAGTGGGCAACTTAGTGAAACCCTACCCTGTCTTGGAATTTTAAAAATTAAAAAATAAAAATTTAAAGGGCTGAGGGATGTAGTTCTGTGGTAAAGCACCCCAGGGGTTCTTCCCCAGTACACGGGATAGGAGGTGGAATCAGGCTTTTGCCACTTGAAAACTAGGGGGGAAAAAAAACTTGGACGTCCATTATTTCCAAGCTATTTCCTCTCAGACACAGAGTATTCCGTAAAATGTTTGTACTTGCAGAGAACTAAGTTGGTACCCACTCCAAAGTATTGTTAACTGGGATAGACAAACTAGTCCACTGAAGTTTTTTTGGGTTTTTTGGGAGGGTACTGGGGATTGAATACAGGGATACTCAACCAGTGAGCCACATCCCCAGCCCTGTTTGGTATTTTATTTAGAGACAGGGTCTCACTGAGTTGCTTAGCGTATTACTTTTGCTGAGGCTGGCTTTGAACTTGTGAACCTCCTGATTCAGCCTCATAAGCCATTGGGATTATAAGCATGTGCCGTGGCTCCCTGCCACTGCATTAAAGTTTTTAGCTTGGTAATGGAGCTCACATAGTATTACACTGTGGTATTGTCATTTTAATGATTCAGAATTTTAGTATATCAAACAATATTTGAAATAAGTTGACCCCTGCTGATCTTGGAATCGAAAGATTAAGCCTGAAGACCTGGATTCTGAGCCTAGTTCTGCCATCGAAGGCTGATGAAATGTAAAGGGAAGGGCTTCAACCAAAAGGTATCTGGCCAGCTCTGCTTCTGATAGGCATGCCTTTGTTTAAAAAGATTTTGTTTAAGCATCCTGTTCATAATTTAGAGGTTACTCATGTTCCAGAACTAAACTGCATTGAGCACTTGGAACATAGCTGGTGTAAATTGAGATGCTAGTGTAAAATGTATACCAGATTTCAAAGACTACCAAAGAGAGTATCATCTTAGTAATTTTGTATAGTAGTTATATGAAATACAACTTTGGATGTATTGAGTTAAATAAAATATACTCTTAAAATTATGCCAGGTACAGAGGTACATGCCTGTAATTCTAGTTTGGAGGCTGAGGCAAAAGGATCAAAGTTTGGGGCCATCCTGGACAACTTAGCAGTACCCTAACTCAAAGTAAAAAGGGCTGGGGATACAGCTCAGTGGTAGAGCCCTTCCATAGCATGCACGAGGCCTGGGTTCAATTCCCACTACCATGGTAATGATAATTTCTTTTTACTTAGGTTTCTACTAGAGAATTTCAATTTTTWAAAAATTTTTTAATATTTATTTTTTAGTTTTCGGCAGACACAACATCTTTGTTTGTGTGTGGTGCTGAGGATCGAACCCGGGCCGCACGCATGCCAGGGGAGCGCGCTACCACTTGAGCCACATCCCCTGCCCAAGAATTTCAAATTATTTATGGCCTGCATTTGAGGCTTACATCATATTGCATTTCTGTTGAACAACAATACTCTAGAGAAGCAAAGCTCCTGTCCTTAAATATATTAGATGCAAAAGATTAAGACAGATATGAGGGCTGGGGTTGTGGCCCAGTGGTAGAGCACTCGCCTGGCATGTGTGAGGCACTTTTGATCTTCAGCACCACATAAAAATGAACCAATAAAATAAAAGTAAATACATATTTTTAGTATAAGACAGGAAAATAACTTTTGCAGGGCATGTAAACTAACACAGCTCTTCATTCTTCTTTATTCTTTTTAGTTGTAGATGGATATAATAACTTTTTTTATTTATTTTTATCTGGTGCTGAGGATCGAACCCAGTGCCTCACACATGCTAGGCGAGCACTGTACCCCTGAGCCACAACCCCAACCTTCTTCATTCTTTTTTTTTTATTATTATTATTATTATATTGGGAGGGTACCAGGGATTATAGAGCACTTAACCACTGAGCCATATCCCCAGCCCTTTTTATATTATTTTGAGACAGGATCTTGTTGAGTTGCCAAGGCTAGCTTTGAACTCACCATACTCCTGCCTCAGCTTTTCCAGCTGCTGGGATTACAGGCATATGCCACCATACCTAGCTGTTTGTTTTAATTTGTTTGTTGTTTGTTTGTTTGTTTATTTTTAACAAAGGGGGGGAAACTTTGAAATTAAAAACCTTTTTATGGGTTGGGATTGTAGCTCAGCAGTAGAACACTTGCCTAGCACAGGAGGGGCCCGGGTTCCATCCTCAGCACCACATAAAAATAAAGGTATTGTGTTGTGTCCATCTACACCTAAAAAAAATAAATATTTTTAAAAAAACTTTTTAATGTGATTGACATATCTTTTATTATGCTTTCTAAATCATTTGAGTAGTTAAAAACTACCATCTTATAACTTAAAGGCAGTTGAATAGCTCAAATAAAGTCTATTTGGAATCATGACCTTAAARCTTCAGATAATCCAAATATATTATCAGTTCAATGCCAGATATTTGTGCAGTTCCTGGAAATAGATAAATGTTTTACTTCCAAAAGAGGGGGAAAAAATTGCACAGTAACTTAAATGTTCTGTTTAGCAAAAGACATCATAAATAAAATTTAGTGATAAATGACAACCTGAGACAAGACATTACATACTGCGTTACATACAGCAAACTCAAGTTAATATCCATAGCATATAAAGAATGCATATAATTAAGTAGAAAATTAAAATATAGAAAAATAGCAACAATATCAAAGACTTTTTTTGCAGAAAAGTATTGTGCACATGCCTAATAACTACCAAAAGATACTTAACTTCATAAACAATCAAGCCTAAATTAGAATATTTCTTCCTAGCAAATGAAATTTAATTGTTTGCATTATCAGGTTATGAAAAAATAGGGCATCACATTTGACAAATTACCTATTTTGAAGCATTGTTTTGTTTTGTTTTGTTTTGCTGTAGTGGAGATTGAGGCCAGGGATGTTCTGCTAGTAAACTACATCCTCAATCCTCCTTTTTTTTTTTTGGCCAGGAGTCAGTGGGCAGTGAAGTAGGGCTGGGGAGACCAGGGATTGAACCCAGGAGTGCTTTACCACTGAGCTACATTTCTAAGCCAATTTTTAATTTTGATTTTGTATTTATTTACTTTTTGGTACTAGGGCTTGAACTTAGTGTTGCTCTACCACTGAGCTACATCCCCACTTTTAATTTTTATTTTGGGACAGAGTCTTATTGAGTTGCCCAGACTGACCTCAAACTTGCAATCCTTCTACCTCAGTCTCCTGTAGTTTGGATTACAGGTTTGCACCACTATGCCCAGCTTGAAGGTATTTTTGGTAATATAGCTATGTTTTTAATTTTTATCACTTAATACATTCTCATAATTTCTAAAGTCATATAGTGCTAAAAGTTCATGACTCTCATAGTTCCAAACAATAAAGGTATATACAGCACTTTCTTCAGTCTTCACTTTTAGACATTCTCTGTTGATTTCTTGTTTTGTTAGATGAGTGATTTATCTCTTTTGTAGTCCTTCTATTTTCTATTCCCCTTGTACTTCCAATATATTTATATCACTCTCTAGCGTAGATTTGTATTTGTATAATATGAAATATGGTTTAGTTTAAGATCAATTAATAGGAGCTGGCGTTGTGGCTCAGTGGTGGAGTGCTTGCCTAGCATGTGTGAGGCAATGGGTTCAATTCTCAGCACCACATATAAATAAATGGATAAAATAAAGGTTCATCAATACCTAAAAAAAAAATTTTTTTTAAGTGTATTAATAATAAACATGCAAACTTACCAAAGCATTTCTTCATAATAATTAGTAAATTCCTAATTCAAGTCAAGCAAATAAAAGTCTCTAAGAGGCCTCATCTCTATAGAATCCACTTTTTAAAATTTAATTGACTCTTTAATCTTATTTACTGAAGTTATTCTGTTAGCTCTCTTTATTATCTGGTATAATAGTTCTCAAAGTCCACTGAAAAATTAATTTTCAACGCTCCATAAATCTATTTATTGTAAACTTGGGTTTTAAGCACAGTTAAGAAAGTAATTACTGTTACTAGAATTTACCTGATAAGCCATGTGTGACATGGTTCATTGCCAAGTAGCATTAAATGTCATCAATTAAACATATATTCCTTATAAGGATTCTTGTTTTTGTTGTTAGTTAAAGACCTTAAATGCTTGGTAAGCAGTTCTGCTAAAACTTGTTTTGTTTTTTCTCTTTATAGGAGAGTTAATCTTGGTCTATCTGGTGTGAATATCTTATGGATTTTTGGCGAGTAGTTGGTTATTTAATTCCAAACATTTGGACTTTTATTTTATTGAACCAAGCTGAATTTAAGCATCTTTGAGTCATTCTCTCTCCTGAAATAAGATACATATGTGTATACGTTATAGATTCCTTAGATTTAACCAAAAAAATTAGCTATTGTGAAACTTTCTTGTGAAAATATACTCTATATCTTCTACTTTAAAAACATTATCTTTGATTTTATGTTGCATTTCAGAAATTTGAATTGACTATAAAACTGTAACCCTTTGGATTTTTGTTGACACAAAGTAGAGCAGTTCCTTTAATTAAATAAATTTAAGAACCCTTTTTCTTTGTAACAGGAATGATCTACCTCATTCTTCCACCACAAACATGTTTTTTAGTTATGTTATTCGGTAGTATAAGTACTTAAAAAAGAAAATTGCTAATTTAGTTTGTTTTATCTGTTTTTCCAGTGTTCTGCAAATCAGTCTAAAGCTCGTATTCAAAGAAATGAAATTAGTTTCTAAGTTATGTTTTAATTAGTCCATGTGTGTTTTCAAAATATTATTAAAAGAGGCTCGACAGTGTTGGCATTTTAAAATGTCAGCACAAGATTAAATTTAGTTGGTAGAACTAACTATTTGGATTTTAGTTAAGAGTTTGAGACATTAAGAAAACTGTTGACTGCTTTGGTTTTAGCAACTCAGTTTCACTGTTAAATAGTATTTTGCTGTTAGTTCTGTTCTTTAAGATTATAGTGATGGGGCTGGGGATGTGGCTCAAGCGGTAGCGCGCTCACCTGCCATGCGTGCGGCCCGGGTTCGATCCTCAGCACCACATACCAACAAAGATGTTGTGTCCGCCGAGAACTAAAAAAATTAAAAAAAAAAAGATTATAGTGATATCCTATTCATTTAAAGTATTTAGATACAATATTTTAGAATATCTAGAATGAGAAGATACCGAATTTTAAGTTTTGCTTGACTCTCCATCTTTATTTTCTACGTGTATATGACATTGCCAGCAGTGGCATATGCTTTTCTTGATTGACATTTTATTAGAGACTGCTGCTTCCATGACCTTTCTGCAAACCTGAAAGTGGCTTAAACCAATATCTTCTAAAGTATTATATATGCGTCCCCTTTTGTATAATTTGTAAATTGTTTTTCAAAAAAGCTGTTTCTGTTTTTAAAAGTTGATGTCAAATAGAAAGGAACTTTTAACTGTTTTCAATATGTTCAGTATATTTAGTATAACATTTTAAAGGAAAATAATATTTAATTATGTTAAATATAAGAACATGTTAAAATTTAAATATGTTTTCAAAAGTTATCCGGATGTCATGGAATAGCAACTGCTATGCTGTTGTGTATACTTTATTAAAAGCAGTCCAAAGAAAATTTTTTATAATACATAAGACTATGTTAAAAAACAAAAAAAGGTATTTTGTCTGCAATGTGGCTAGACTCTAGGTATAGCTTTCTTGTATTAACTTTTCTTTGCAAATGTTTTAGCCAGTTTGTATTTGTCTTGTTTCCTTCCTCTTTTTGGGTGGGTGGGTGGGGTTGTTGTTGCTGCTGCTGCTGCTGCTACTGAGGATTGAATCCAGAGCCTCATGCATGCTAAACACACACTCTCTTCCTGAACTATAACCCCAGCCCCAAAGATAGCAAATGTTTTGGTCCTTGTGTTAAAATGAATCAGTATCTACTAATATCTCTTAAGTAAATGTTATTTCTAGGATATATGTCACAAGTTTTTTTAATTGCTTGAATCCTTGTGAGGTCAGATCCACTAATTTAGATTACGTGCACTATGTCATTTATCTTTTCTTCCTCTGTCAGTATCAGCCTTTACTTAAACCACATTTGTTCTTGAGCATACTTCATTTATAATTCAATTCCTCCTGAGACATAACAATACTATGTTGCTTTGCTTTCTCAAGCTCATGCATACTTTAAACTGATATTTTGATAGTGAAAACGTGTAACATGGAAGGGGACATTTTCTAAACTTAGCCTTGTAATATAAATCATTTACATGTGAACATTGCTCAAAGGGCAGTCTTTGGTACTGTTTCACTATATATGCTTTTCCTTAGCGATCTCATTCATTCCACAGCTTCATTTATCATTTCTCTGCCTGATTCCTGAGATCATCACCAGGCACCGCATCTCTCCTGAGCTCTGGTGTTACATTTCCTGTTACCTGTCAGACATTTCCAGTTGGGGATTGTGTAGACTGTCTACGTCTGGAACTGAATTCACATCTGCCAAAACTCGCTCCCTCTTCTATCATCCCTTTCTCTGTTCTTTGTACTACCAGTTGCCCATCCTCAAAACTCTGGTGTCATCTTTGATTCCTTGAGCTCCCTGGGTCCCCAATCCAATCAGGCAGCAAACCTCATCCATTCTTTCTTAACAATGTCTCTTGCAGCTGTCCCCTTCCATTTCTGCCACCACTCTGCTCATTTACACACTTATCAACTCACACAGGACTACTGCAACAGCCTAATTAATCTCACAGCCTCCTAATTGTTGCCATGCTTCCAGATTTTCCAATTCATCCTACACATTCTCTTCAAATTTATCTTCCTGAAACACCTGTTTGATCATTTCATTCCCCTGATAAATTCCTTAGCTTGACATTTAAAGCCCTCCACAATCTGGCCCCAACCTGGCCTTCAGCAACCAAATCCTTGGCTTCAGCCAGTGCAGGCTGCTCCCTGCTTGCTGGGTTCTCTGCCTGCTCCCTCCTTCTCATCCTCATCAACTCTCTGGGGATTCCCCTCCCATCGCACACTCTCCCCCTGCCTTGAGACTCTCTCTGATTAAACCTGCTGTTTGGACCTCATCCTAACTACACCAGCTGGCACGAATTCTCCCCAAGGGCAGAATCTGTGCCCCTTTTTTGGCACTCAGCAGCCATACAAATGGACTCAAAAATGACTTTTAGTACAACAGTAGGTATCAGATCACATCTCCTCTTCACACAGAACTGAGTTTTTACTAGTTGGAGCTATAAATGCTGCTGTTCGAGAATACTTGATGGGTAAAGCTACCTTTTGGAAAAGGTGTGCATCCTCCTTTCTGAAGCACACCTGTGAGCCAACCAAGCATGCTAGCTTTCCTTTTGTGGTGAGGCAAGGCCTGAGGAGGAGGAGGAAGCATTCCCGGCCTAAAGCGTTAGGTAATTGATGCAGCTGAGCCATGTCTTCCTCAGTGATGGGGGTGAAGTCCCTGCACCTATTCACAGCAGTACATTGTTCCAGATACTACAGGGATTGCTGTGAGGTTTCAGGAGAGCCTACCCATCCCTCTAGATATCTCTAATCATCGCTGCCCCTGGACTAAGAGTTGGGGCAAAAGTGTTGGAACATAAGCAGGCTCTGGCAGAAGGCTCTGGGAAGGATCCATATAGGGCCTTGTCTGCCCAGTAGAATATGAGCAGTTTGCACAGCCAGCACCTTCTGTTCTTTGGCCCCTGCAACACTGCCTAAGTCACTGGGTCTGCCAGCACTTTCTGTCATGTCTGCAGGATTATTAGGTATCAGCTCTTTGCCACCTCCCTCATTTGATCCCTGGACAGTCATCAGTAATTTAATTTCCACATTGAATGAACTTCAGTGACCTGGGGTGGGACAGATTATGGCTTCCACAGAAGGGGCACTCTGACAGGGTTAGGAAGAAGCAGCCCAACAGCAGGATGGAGATGGCCCAGGTGTACCACAGAGGGACAGAAATACCCAAAGGTATTTCTTAACAGTTCACATCCAGACTATATCAGACACTGATATGGATGAAATTCCTGCCCCCACCCCAGGCCAAAGTCAATATCCCTAAATTATTCTGCCTAGAAGAGCTGCTGGCCTGAATGGACAGGTAGGGACTGAGCTCTGTCACTAATTGGGGCAGGGAACTAAACTTTCACGTTAGGAATTTCTGAGAGAGATACAAATACTCTATACCTCAGAGATAATCAGGAAGTGTTGGTAAGAACATACAGGCATAATAATGAATGACAGTGCCTAAAAGCAGGTAAAGAAAATTACTTTGAAAAGTTTTTCAAAATAACAAGTTAGTGTAAATCTAGGGAATGGCCCCTTTGGCATTGGAAAGTAACTCTCATTCTTGGATCATGCTGAGATGGAGATATTCATGACTTTAAAACTTACACCCCACCCCAGCTGGCTCAGCCCAGCTGTGTCTACCTTCTGCTCCCTCTCTGCCTCCCCACCTCAGACTTGGCCCCACACAGACAGAACCACCCTTGTGTCCTGAAGGCTGGGCTTTATGGTATACCAAGAAATGCCTCCTTCCTATCCCACTTCTAAACTAGAAGGAAAAAAATAACAACTCAGAATCAGACTCTGCTTTCATGAACTGCATCCCATAGGAGGAAAGTCAGAAGGTGACAATCTACTCTAGTGGGGGCAAAACTTGTTTTTCCAGGAGCAGCAGTCGGGTGTGACTCTTCCTCAAACACATGGCATGTAGACTGGAATCAGGCAGCCCTGTGATGGTTTTGGCCCAGAATACAGGCACCAGTTTACTGAACTCCAGCTCTGAAGAAAGGCCCCTGTGTTTCTGACAGGGAGGGGTGTTGTGGCAGGACAGCCTGCGGCTGGAGGGGTCCTGCTGCCTCCTGTAAGAGATACTGAAATCATCAGCCCTGAAACCTGGTGGCTGGAGGTGTTACAAGGCTTCCATCGCAAATTAGCTGACAACCCTTAAAAATAAAATTCAGTACAATGCTCTGCTGTCAGTTCAGTGTTCTGCACGAGTTCTTCATGTTCTTCTTATGCCCATCTTGGAAATTCCAAAAGTTAAGGACCTTAAAGTAGTGGTTAGACTCTGCTTAGGCCAAGTGGCTTTGATCAAACTCTGAAACAAATCCCAGAAAACCAAATGCTGAATGTCGTCTCTGATATAAGGATGCTGATTCATAGTGAGGATGGGGGCGGGGGTGTGTGTGTGGGAGAAATAGATGAACTTTAGATAGGGCAAAGAAAGGGAAGCATAGGAAAGGGAGGGGCCGGGGAATAGGAAAGACAATGGAATGAGACAGACATCATTACCCTAAGTACATATATGAAAACACAAATTGTGTGACTCTACTTTATGTACAACAAGAGATGTGAAAAATTGTGCTCTATTCATGTAATATGAATTGAATTGCATTCTGCTGTCATATATAATAAATTAGAATAAATAAAATTTTTAAAAAACTTGGAGGCAAATCTATATCCTACAATATGATGTCTCTTAAGTAAGACACTAGATATTTTCTGTGTGGTTAGAAAAATTATCTTGAATTTAAACTGCTTGGTTGCCGTATCAGAAAAAATTGCTTCTTCCCCCTACCCCATCTTTATTTCCCCACTTC